TTTTACCCTTTGGGCTCAAAAATGGTCCAGCACTTTTTCAAAGGACTATTAATACAATTCTGAGACCCCACCTTTTCCAGAGGTGTCTGGCGTACGTCGATGACGTGATTGTTTTTGGAGACTCTTTTGAAACTTTGTGCGAGAACTTGGAAATCGTTTTACATGTTCTACAGGAGGCCGGCGCATGTATTGATCTTTTAAAATCCACCTTTTTAGCCCAGAAAACCCTATTCCTGGGGTACGAAATAGATCAAACCGGGAGCAGACCCGCCAAACGCAACGTGGACGCTGTGCGGAAACACCCGAAACCTGAAACTCGACGACAAATGCAGCAATTTCTAGGTATGGCTACATATTTAAGAGCGCATCTTCCTACAAATTTTGCAGAGGCGGAGAAAGCGTTACGCCGTACAATACCTTTGAAACCAGCAACGAGACTGATGTGGACGTTGGAAGCAGAAGCAGCGTTCGAACACTTGAAGAGTGTATTGGCAGAAACGGCACGCCTGGAGCGCATTGATCCGGCTCTTCCAATTGCCGTACACTGCGACGCGTCGGCAATATCACTAGGCGCAGTACTAGTACAAACTGATGACACTGGACAAGAACGTGTGATTGAATACACGAGCCGCACTTTAAAGGACGCCAAAACGCGATATTCAAATACGGAGAGAGAGCTGCTGGCAGTGGTCTGGAGCATCACGAAAAAGTTTAAGCACCACCTCGTCTATTGAAAGTTCAAAGTCTACACAGACCACAAGGCTCGGTTGGGCAAACTTCAAACGGAACGACTCATCAGCTTCCAAGCAAAGTTGGTCACCTTTGATTTTGAACTGATTTACAGACCGGGACACTTACTTCAGGCCCCAGACGCACTAAGCCGAATCTCGGTGAATCAAGCAGAGGCGCAAATTACTCCTGCGGAAGAAGATAGAACACGCATTATCGACGAGTACCATGCTGAGATGGGACACGCGGGATGAAAAAAAGTGTACCTGACACTCAAGGAAAGGTTCGTATGGCAGAAAATGAGACAGCAAATATGGCAGCAAATCATTACATGCGAACTGTGTTTTAAATACAACCAACCAACAAGCACTGTCGGCGCACCCATGACACCAATCGAATCAAATCGCCCGAATGAAAGGTTAGTGGTCGATTTCTACGGGCCACTACCGGAAACCAAGGAGAAGTACAGGTATGCTATTGTCGCCGTAGACAACTTCAGCAAGTATATGGTGGCCCAGCCAATTCTCGCGGCTGACTCTCAAACTATAATCCCATTCATTGCAGAGGTTTTCAGGCAATTTGGAACTTTTGAAATCGTTCACACAGATTGCGACTCGGTCTTTCGTGGGCATGTTTTTAAACACTTCCTTAGGGGCATTGGCGTGGAGCAACACATCGCGCAGGCTACACACCCCGAAGGGAACGGGTGTTGCAAACGATCAATAAGGACTCTAATGCAAATACAGGCAAAAGCGGTCAAAGGGCAGGAAACACAATGGGCAAACCACTTGGCCGATTCAGTACTGGCTTACAACTCTACGATACATTCCGCAATGGGGGTGACGCCAACGGAGGCAATGTTCGGGGTCCCACTTCGGCTCAAGTCTGACGAGAAATTCGGGGCACAGCAACAGAACTTCCAGGAACGCATGGAACGCATACATGAAACCACCGAGAAACACCGGACGGAGTTTATTCAACAAGCTAACAAACATAAACTCGAACACTTTTTTCCAGGTGACATGATTGCAATCTGTCCTTGTTTACCAACAGTACAGACGCATGCAGCAGGACGCAGATTCAGGACACAACGCCTGGGCCCATTTATGGTTATATCCTATGTCGGGAACGGAGAATACCACGTGGGAGCGGGTCCAGATGTGCAAAGAGCAAACGCCTGGGAGATGGTACCATTTCACGGACTACCAAGACAACCAGGAGCAGGATTTGAAAAACAAATGGGACTTATTCACTTGCCATCAGGACAGAACAGTGTCATACAAGCCAAGGACCACGGGTACGCGCGACCGCCAAAGGAGGCACCAACGCCGCAGGAAAGGGCCACCACACTGGATCACGCTTACGGTCAATGCAATTCAGCGTGAAAAACACATCAAAAACGTGTGTACCGGGGTAGGCGAGAAACCTTCTTTGGGGGGAGAGTAAGGCCGCACCCTTACGACCGAACGCAACATCTAGGGGAGGGAGACGCGAACCAGGGATGCGCGCGAACACAGGGGGTACGCAAACACCAGACCGGCTGGCGCCACGAACACGTGTTCGCGAGACACGGTGGAACCAGGGACACGTGGAGGATGATGACGAGGCGGAAGTGATCGGACAAGGAATCGGAGCGCGGAAGGAAGGGGCATTCTGATCTGTACTCTTGAGACGTGAAGTTGTAATCTCTGACCTCTAGTCTGTGACTTGTGAAATAGAAGGACATGTGTGTGTTACCTTCACTGGAGTATTTCCTTATTGTTTTTAGTTCCCCATAGAAAAAATTAATAAAAAGGCCTGACATGAGGACACTCACTCAACATAGGGACATTTTGTAATAAAGTTGCACGTGAGTTTCAGGCCAAATTACATGAAACAGATATTTACAACCCTAAAATTGATGTAAGAAAAATTCTTGGGCATTTCTCTCAGCAATTTACCATCCATTAAGCTAATAAAAAAAAAATTATCTCCAGCATAGAGGGACGTCATTCTCTCTTTTTACTCAAATGTTTTTTTTTTTTT